GCATTTCCTCAGGAGCTCCACCTCAGTAAGGGTTTGTTCCAAAGATCCAAACACTGCATTTCCTCAGGAGCTCCACCTCACACACAGTAATTTGCATCCTAACAGGTCTTTCCTTTCCAAGGGCCATCTTCTGCCCCTTCACCCCCTCCCAAAAAAAAAAAAAAAAAAAAAAAAAAAAAAAAAACCGCCTAGAACTAAGAAAATAATGTAATTAGTCCTTAATATCTAAATAGTCTAGACTGTAACAGTTCTTGTTTTATAAATAGCCTAGATAACAAACATTTCAGGTCACTACTGGTTACACCTTTGAAAAGAGTGGTGAGGATAGGGAACCCTGAAGCCGGTTGTTCAGTGAAATCTCTTTTTTCTTTTCCTTGATGTACTGGCTTCATGTCCCTATTAGTTTGGGGAGCTGAAGAGGAATTGCTCAGCTCTGGAGGCATAGATGGCCTTGAGGTCCACCAGTCTGATGAAGAAACTGGCTGGATGAAGAGGAAGCAATACCAATGATGACTGATAGGCTTAAAGACATTGCCAAGCTATTGAGTACCAGTAGGGTACTAATAAAGGTCTATGAGGTAGTTGAAATGAAGGAGTGAAACGAAGGAGTCCAGGGGAAGACAGGACCTAAGAGTTTGCAGGGCTTGTCTTGGGCGTATATTGGAGCTGAAGTAGGTGTTCCACTGACCAACTCACTAAGAAGCTGAGAAATGAGAGGAAAGCAAATGGTATCTTCTTCACTACTGCATGCAGGCACATGAAGAGTCTAGTACATGGCCCTAAGATACCTCTTAAGAAAAAAATGTCCAAACTGTATTGAGGGTGGCTCATGGGAAGGTATATGCAGGCAGCACTCAAGGAAAATGTGATTCTGAACTTACCTTAAAACTCCTCAAAAACTCTTAAGTTATTGCATTAATAAAAGTCTGTATAGGTGTAGTCAAGCAGATACAGTGTTAGGTTTGGTGAGGTCTCCTTCCAGAGGAGGAGAGCAGCCTGATGTGCAGAATGGTGCCAGAGGGATGCTGTTCTTGAGTCCCAAACCCCATTTATCATGTTATAACTGGTGGTGTGGTTGATGGGTTGATGATCATATAGTCCAAGGGACTCCTTTCAGAGGCCTTGGCTACATCTGTGCTAACAGCGTGAGCCACAGAAGTTGCAGACTTGAGCAGTGTGCCAGGCTTATCACACCGGCTGCCCTTTAACATGATGCTGCCCTGCACTGTCCATGGGCTGGCATGGATTAAGGGCTGGTCCCAGAGAGCTAAGCTGCATGGTTTGAAGCTGTGTTGTGGCACTGACTTTGGGTCAGCGAATGGGTCCTGACCTGTGTTATTTAACAGGAGAATAATATTCCCATATGGCTGCTGGTTCTGCTTGAACAGACAGCTGAAGGATAGGAATTGTAGTATGTTTTCATGTCAGATGTTGCTTCCTATAACCCATCACTGGACACAGAGCTTGGAAAAGATTTTTGCATGGGCCTTGTGGACCCTCAGCATGTGTGTGAGCCTTCTTTAGTTCTTTTGGGCACCTAGGGGATGAGAGAGGTATGAGATGGGCTTCATCAGGAAGAAAGGACACAGTGGCAAGAAACCTAATCTAGAGGCTGCTTTTCAGGATGAGTTCCCAAGAGGGACTCACCCTGAGTGGAGGAGGGACAGTGCAAGAGGGCAGCTGGGGCAATTTGTTCAGGTCTGTTTGGAAGAAATAGGCCCGTTTTTTTTATTGATGACGTGAGCTGGGCCTTACTTTCTGATATTTTTTTCCAAACCTCAGGCCCCTGCCTGAAGTCCTGCTATCTTCTGACTCGAGAGGGCTCTTGCTACCGGGCATGACTGTGTTTCCCACTTGATGACTCTATGGAGGTGACCTGTCTGAACAGCCATGAGCACTGGGTTTGTATGGATAGCTGAACAGGCCTAGTCTGACAGACCAGTTTCCGTTGTTCTGCTGCCTTTTCCAACAATATCGTAGCTTAAACTTGCACAGATATTAACTCTCTTCAATGCATTAACAGTGCTTAATGGCTTTTATCTGTCCTTAGTCTTTTGGTACCAAACACTTTTTCTTTCTTCTTTTTTTTTTTTTTTTTTTTTAATTCCTGGGTATCTAGTTTGAACATCAGAGCCCTTTCTCTGCTTTCTGTTGGGAGCCCTGGTGCATGAGCCTCGCATTGTGGCACCCTTAGGCACACAGATCCCTTATGCCAGACCTTCAACAAGTAAAACTATTGCAGTTACTTAACTCCAGTCACTTAACTTTGCAGGCAGGTACTTAGTCAATATGCTAGTTACCATGTCCTTTGTGTCACTGGGATGAAATTCAGAGAAGGGCTTACAGAAAACGATGTTGAAATGTAGCTTGCTTAGGCATGATATCACTATAGAGGGATCCATAAACTGACTTATCTGTTTGATTTTTTTTTGTCTAAATAAGCCCCTTTGTAAACTAATTATATGGCCAGTTTGTAGAGTTTGCAAGTAAACAATCTCCAGATTTTTTTTTTTGTTACAGGTCCTGAAACTTAACTGTAGATGTTGCAAAATCTTCCACATGTTAGAGAGCCCATAAACTGTTCTGCATTGTAACGCAATAATGTAATAAATTGGATAATAAAAAGGATTGGTCCTTTTCTCCTTCTTTAAATATAAGCTTTAATTTTAGGAACTTCATTTTTAATGTTTGCGAGCACCAAAAAAAGAACACTGAATAAAACCAGTCACAATTAATCCTTTGGGAAATGCAAGCATAAACTCCAGCTGCTAGTCTCCAAATAAAATATTTATGTGTACTAGATGTCTTGCATCAGGAGATGGTTCTTCCGATGTTATCAGAAGTCAGCCCTTTGCTCCATGCGTCTGGCTCTATCCCTGGTAATATGAGGGCTTGCTTCAAACACCTTGCTGTCTTGTCCACAGGGTGGATGCGCTGTATTAAAACAAGCATTTGCCACAACAGTTGTTCAGAAGCAGCAGTTTTAGCTCTACAATCACAGCCTGTGAGATTTTCTAGCAACATAATCATTATTTACCTAAGGCTCCTCCAGTAAATCGAGTCTAATTGGTCTTTCCTAGGGGTAGTAGGAAGCTGCCTGTTTTTTATCTTTCCTCTTGCAGGGAATGAAGCATCTTCCTCAAGAGCCAGATCCAGTAAGGTTTGGATAAGTAGTAGCCTTACAGCTACCGATTCACAGTCCAGGTACAGAATTAGCATAAAGCCCAGTTCTTAGCTGCTTAGGACAGAAACCAGCCATTTAATTGTGTATTATTTTCCTTGTGGTTATATTTTAGCTGTGCAGTTGTATACGTGATGCTGTGTCTCCTTTAGTTGAGATTGGTCTTACATAGTCAGACTGGTTGGAGGTGCTTCTTTGGAGATCCCTGGTATCAATAACTTTTATATCAATAAGTAAGCAAAGGAACTCAGTCTTGCTTTAAGGTGTTAAAGATATGGGGCATCTGATGATTCAGGAAACTCTTGCAACATACCCTGGAAATCTGTATATGCTCTCTTTCTACATTAAGGAATTCTACAACAGGTAAGTGCATAATAATTAATTAAAAATATCAAAACCATCATTAAAATATTCTGGCAGAAGCCTAATATATATATATATTTCTTTTTAAAAAAGCTTTAAATGAAGGGTAGGTATTAAGCAAAATATAGAGGGTAAATCCAAAAGTAGTGTTTCACATTTGTGGTTCCTCACCAGGACTCTATCAAGCTGGTCTATGTAACCATACCAACCTGTTAATATAGTCTCCTTGTACTTTATCTTTGTGGAAACTATATTTTTATAACCTTATGGAGATGGTGATTTTTTCATTTTTTATTATTCTGAGAATCAATTGTGTGGGTACTCCTATGTCTGAATGCAATAGAGTCTTCTTTATTTTTGTATCCATCAGTCCACCTTGTCATTCACAGGTTTGCTTGGGCATAAAAATTTCTTTTTTGTCACTCAAACAGTACTTTACATTAGGCAGAGAGACTATGTGATCAACAGTATTAATTAAAATTACATTAATGCTCAGTTTTGGTCTAGCATTATATTTTTTTTAATTCTCAATTTGCTCCATCAAGTATGAAATGGGACGTGATATTTATATTTTAATGGAATGGCAGTTGGGATATATGACAATAAAACTATTCTAAATGCCTGTATTAACATAATGACCCTCTCAACTCCTTCCCCATTTCCCCTCAATCCTCCAAACAATCAAGTTCTACTCAAAAGCTAATTGATTTAAATAGACATCTGGAAAAAAAATGTACACTGCATTATAACAAGGTTCTGAAGTATTATTTTATTCACAGTTAGAGAACAGGGCTTCTCAAAGGAGAGACAATGAGTGGGGCAATAAATTGTTTTATAGTCATTGGGTGTTTTTCTGCTTTTTAGTCAATAAACAGTTTCATAATTGTGAAGAAAGCATTTTGCCTATGTTTGCCATCTTAACTGAGAAATCTACCATTTAGATAGCCATTTATCTACAGTTACCTGCTATAATCTCTGTAGGGGCTGCAGCAGTTCCAGGAGGCAATTGTATTCCACCTATTTCATTCTGCTATAGGAAGAGTGCAGATATCTAACTTTCCATCCTAATGTAAGATGAAATTAATTCCATCTTACCAAATATTGAGGGATATGCAGAATGGATTTCATCTGATCTTCACTCTCTGTGAGGTCTGATACAAGATTACTGCCTGTTCACAAGGATTCTAAATAGCTTTTCAAAGACTTTGATTTTTTGGTTCTGCTGATCAAAGTATCTTTAGTAGCTTCTCTTTATGTACTGGCAATCAAAAGGATAGCAAACACACCCTAAAACCTCTGTTTTATTTCCTGAGGCCACGGGAAATGCAGCCTCCCAGACAAGCATAATTTTTGGCATGCATATCAAATATAAAAGAGGATTTCTTAAATAATTGTTTGTTCCTCTCGATAACACAAATATTTTGCAGAAAAGTTCATTGAAATGAAAAACAATCACTGAATTCTTTGCATATTTTATTTTTCTTTTTGATTTCCAACTCACACACATCTGGCATATTTTACATCTTTGCAATAAAACATGGTTACAATAGCTTAAGGAATTTATATATCCAAAATATTTCACCATGATCTCAAGATGAAATGAACTTGTCTTCCAGATGTTCAATATTCTCCCAATTCTAAGCTACAAACTCAAGATATTGCTTACAGACTGGTGATGAATAACTTAATCATTACGTTGATCCCCATGATTTCTGAACCTTATAAATACAAACAACAATGAAGAAGGAAATTCAGTGCTAAACTTACTAATACAAGGTGGATAACAAATAAGTAATCACATCAATAAATAATGATATGTTTCTGGTGCAAAGTGCCAATACAAAGAATCCATTATCTTTTTAAATAAATGACTGCAAGTGAGTGTAAATTCTGAGAAAATTACATTCCTGTTACATGCCTCATAGCCCTACCGACACAATATGTACATCTATGACAATACAGTCACCAAATATACAAAGAAGAAACATGAATTAAAGTGTATATACCCCTGGGTGTGTAATTTGATCAGTACAATGTGCAGAAAATTATTCTGATAGTTATCATTACAGTATTGTAAAACATGAAGTGCCTTAGTCTGAGAGTGTGGCTTCAGGTGAGATTTTCAGAAGAATCAAAAAGAATACCCTCAGTCACCTTTGCAACGAAGCTAAGGCTCTTAAATAAATCAAGCTGCTCAGAGGAAAAATAAGGGAAAAATATTATTTGAGGCTCTCTCCTGCAATGATTCCTATGCCAAATGTTAATAAAGCTGAAGTATAGCACTTTCTATGCATTGGGAGTCATTAAGCATTACAGAGCATTATTAAACTAAACTTCCCCTCTTTGCTCCCTTTCTGCTAGTCGTTGAATTTAAAAGGGAGGAATTTATTTCCTACGGTATGGAGTATAAATATGGCAAATGATGGCTTTTTATCCAAATGCTTCATGAGCAGAATTCCACTTCATAGGGGTAACGTCGAGATTGAAAAAGTGAAAAACATGTTTTGGTGAAAATGTCAAAATTACTATTTGCACCCAAATTCAACCCTTTCCTACAAGCTGTACCCTCAGACAGATCTTCAGTTTGATTTGTGTGAATGCACCTGTCCCTCCAAGACATCAGGTTTAAAGTACATGCAAGTTGTAACTCCACAATAAAATTAAGAAACGGTTTTGTTCTTTATACAAGGTTTTACTTTTACAAAAGTATCCCTTTAAAGTTAAGATGTGCATCTGATGTACAAAGTATCAAACGTATTTTTTTTTTTTTTCTCAGCTTGAAAAGAGTCTGGAGATGGGATGCATGTTAGGTTCATAGCCTAAACATTGAAACAACTGGACACAAGGTTCCTCAGAATTTTCAAAAGTCTCTTGTGGCGCATCCTACTACCTTTTCTTAATAAACAAAGATATATGAAATAATTACCAAAACATCTCCTAATTCATATAATTTACATGATACAAGCTTGCTTTGCAGCAGCTGGTGTTCAGTTGTGAAAAAACACACAAAGTAAAATGGTTGCTGACTACAATGTACAGCTATTGCTGGGTGTAATGGAATGTACAACGGAGGTCAATGCAGACGTGTTTTTCCACCAGAGACTACACCTTTCGTTGCAGCACTTGTGCTCTCAGCTTTACCTGGGCTGTCAGTTCTTCTTTCCACTTCAGTATCTGTTTTGATGTTCATAGTGCCACCGGTTAAAATCTATATTAAAAGCTACGATGCTGCCAGAAGCCATGCCAGTAATCAGAGTTCTGGAGAAGACATAACAAAAGGTAGACCTTACATATATATGCTACTTTTAACTTAACTGTTAATTCTTTCGCATTCTGAGTCCGTGGATTACATTAAACAATAAAGAAAGCTAAAATGAGACACTTTTTTGTAGTTTTGTATGAAAATTAATACCATAGGCAGGATTGAGTTTGTGATGGAGTCACAAAATATAGGTGTCGACATAGAAGCTAAAAGCCCATGAAGATGAAAAGGTCCATTCAGTTGCCTTCAGACAGGTGAAATCATAGTGCCATTTGGGACACTTTTGGGTGTTTTGCCTTCCCTCCAACTAGTGCTACAGATTGGTCCTAACTAGGTCTGTTGTCCCATGTACCATCCATGTATTCAGATACTTCAAGGTATTTCAAACAGAACCAGCTGGCTAAAGGTGGGCAAACAAGCCAACCTCCTGAGTGCAGCCTACAGACCAACTCCTTACAGGTCACCAGGAATACTATTCCGGGTGAGATAATTTTTTCTTTACACTCCACATGCAGGAGAAAGTAAATCCCCTGATTACCTTGGAAACTTACTCCCCCAGTGCACTTAGTGGAAATACTTTAATTTAGATGTTTTAGAACTCAATTCAGTTGCCCAGTTATAGGCACCCGGTGTCATTTGAGATGCCCAAGGATATGTGACACATTTACACTGGTTGGCAGCTGTGACACCAAACCTGTGGAGAGTTCTGCCCTCCGGACTGGCAGCCGGGATTAGGTGGCCTCTCAGATGTAATCAGATGCCTCTGAAAAGACAACTCAGTTGATCCCTTAATCATGAGCTAATCACAACTTGGTGACCTTAAATAGCTTCGTATTGAAATACACCCCTACACTTATGTGGTTCTGGTGGAAACAGTTGAGATGATTTTCCAGTTATCATATGCCCTCTAATTCTGGTAGCTGAATTATGAAATTGGATTAGGTATCTATCACCACTTTTATCAAACCATAAAAAATCCATTCTCTGCTTAATTATGTAACTACAGCTAAGCAGGTACTTAAAGTACTTTGCTCAGCTGGGGCCTCACAGCCTACTATTAAAACCAGGGATATAGAAATTAGACTAGCAGAATCTTTTCATAGTGTAAATAAATCTCTTCAAACCTGCACAGTACTATGTGCATAAAATGGCAAAGTTCCAGAAGCAAACAGGCCTTTTCCAGTAAGTTAGTTTTGAGCATACTAAGCAAAAAACAGAAATCTTGTTTCACATCATCTACTCATATCTTATAAGTGTAAGATTTATAAATGTTTTTGCTGCTTTACCAATTGGGTACACAGCATAACAATTCTGAAAAGTGTAAGAAACATAAACTGGCATGAATGCTCTGTGATTTTTCTAACATCTTATGATTTTTTTGCATCTTTAGTTTATATATTAAAATGAAATGCAAGACTGATGAATAATATAAAGAGCAAATCCACTCATAAATCCAGAAAAATACAATACGAAGGTTTACCTTGAGAAGACTGAGGGATTTGGTTTGTATAGCTTTTAAATTTACATTGAATATTCTAGTGCTACAGTGCTACAGCAATTACTGCAAATATCTAGGCATGTACACAGCACCTCCTTTGCTCAGAGAAAGTCAAAGGAAAGGACTACACTTATTACTGGTAGATAGATACCCCACTAATATTGCACATTATGGTGTTTGTGCCACCAGAAGTTCTCAAAATATAAAAGGTTGAAAATCAGAACCCTGTACAACTGAAAAACGTACTTTCTTTTTATGTTTTTTAGTTGGTACTACTGTGGCCTGATCCAGTTTGGTTGTTCGTATGTTCTTAAGCTAACGTAACATTACTATTTTCCTACCTGAGGATCTGGTTTACTGACTTCAATGATGCAATACTTCATCTTAATGTTAAGCATTGGCATTAAGAGACTTAAGGATCAGACAAAACATTGAGTTAAGACTAAATCAACAAGGCAACTAGGATCACAGTTTTTTATCATACCTTTTATATGAGTATATACCATGAATTCTAACACTGAAGTGAACACCAATCTATACTTAGTGCATTTTTAATACTCATATAAAAATATTAATGACAAACTCACCTCTGATCATGAGACAGATCCATAGCTCTAATGCCAGCATCACAGCCAGGGTAGATATAGAGCTGCTTGAAGTCACAAGCCTGCCATACCTCCACTACCCCGTTGTCTCCCCCAGTCACCAGGTTTTGCCCATCACTGCTCAGGAGGATGGCCTTCAGGAGAGACAGAACCACACACACACTTAGCATTTAGGGAAACTAATCGATATTACCACAGTTTAATCGAATGAACAAAGACTCCCAGTACTCCTTCTCCCAAAGGAAAAAAAATATTTAGGATCTAAAGATTTTAAATAAAATTCTTATGTGGCTTTAGAAATTACACTAGAAGTGTATCTCCCATGTGAACCAAAAAGCTTTTTAACTATCTGCCAAGACTTGAATTCACAAAACATTTCTGTGTTTGTCCTACAATACTCAATGTCACCACTAACACCTAAAGCAGAGCAGAGATCTGCATTCCTTATGCTGTTTTAAGTGCTAGTGACAAAGCAGAGCCCTGGGGGCATGAATTCTTGTCTTGGCTAATAAATGAAGAATGAATTTATTTCAGAGTATTTTGTTTTAAAGACATATTTCCCACTGATATGTAATTCCAAACAAAAATTCCAGGAATCGTATGGGATCAGAATTTGTTCTTATTTATTCTGAAAAAAAATGTTCACTTTTCCATTTGGAGATGGAGATGAGAGCATTTGTATTTTAACGCGACTTAAGCAGGAGATGGCAATTTTACATGTGTGATTTCCTTGAAACGACAGTGAAGATAAATTCAATTTATTTTAATACATAAAAGCGAGACACAACAAATGGCTGTTTGCATTTATATTTACCCTGGTTGAATCATTGATCTCCATCTGAGCTAAGAGTTTGCCATTAAGAGTTCTGAAATCGCTGAACCGTCCTCGTTCATAGTAGATGATGCAGTGACCTTCACTAGATACTGAAATTAAGCGAGGGTACAAGCAGTTTTCTGTTCCTTCCAGGGCTCTCAGCAAATCTCCAGTAATTGTGTGTACCAGACAAGGACCTTCTGCATATGAAAAGATAATATATAATACATTTGCTGCTTATACAGGCTATATACACTGTGCAAAGAGACAATGTATATTATACGTTTAGATCATACTAGTCCTGCATGGATATAAAAAAGGATGCAAACCTTGCATAAAGAATTTAAAATATACAACATAAAATGACTAGCTAGCACACAAAGAAAATGGATCCAACATGTTTGGGAATGATAGTTAGTGATTGACTTGACTACTGGTGATTATCGTTAATCTATCTTTTAAAATATTCTTTCCTCTTTCCAAGTACTTAGAGGCCTCAGTCTTACTGCTTTCTTTAAAAAACATGAACCCTCCTTAGCCTGCCCATTCACATTAAACAGATGGGGCCCTATCAGTGCAGAGTAGGAGCAACTCCCAGGGGGCATATAATTGTATCAGTGCATATTGCTCCTATAGTCAGTGGCAGCTCCTGTAGGTCCTCTTCCCCAGTGAATTCAGTCCATGCAGAGACTGCAGCCCCGACCTGTTTGAACAATGGACATCACGAGACAGCCAGCAGAGTAACCAGAAATATCTGGACTATCAGATCTTTCAGGAGAACAGACCAGAAATGCATCTACTCCAGATAAATTTTGATCTGCTATTTTAATGTCTTTTTGTTACTGGTGATGAAAGAAAAACTCCACTATGAAATCTACAGGGCATATTTTTAGATGCAACACCATTCCAGTCCCATTTTCAGATCTGTGTGAAAATCTCTCTCGAATGTGGGCTCAGCATTCCTAAGAAGAGGAGCCTCCTCTGCAATAAGTATAATAAGTCATGCTAAATACTAAACATTTTCTTCTGTAAATCACAGGACACTCCTGCAGCAATCATTTCCTTATACAACTGGCTTGTGTGACCCGGAAAGCAAATTCACACCGGCAGACCCAGCCCCTTCACGTTAAACCTTTCCAACTGCTCTGCAGCTCACACAGCAGCATAAGAAAATGAATCCCAGCCTGTCCTCTTGTGTGCAAACCCCCTGTTACATTTTTTCATCCATGTTTTGCATAAAGTCTTATACCGAGGAAGAGCCCAAGCCTGACTGGGTCAATGGGATACAGTTGCAGTGGAATTAATTTATTTTCTCTAACAGTTGAGCCTTAGCTTTGGAAAGACTGAAGTGCCAGATGTTATGAGATGCGGATGCCTCTACCGTTAGAATAATTAACATGTTAGCCTTTTCCAAATATATATTTTTTTAATATTTAAGCACACTGGCAAACTGCCACTACCTTGGTTCAGCTGACTGTTCACGGACAGAAATAATGTATATGCTAAGAAAAAACACAAAAAAGAGGGATTTTCCTCCTTGTATTTATATTTCGAATTGAGTTTGCAAAGGAAGGACATGGGTATAGTAACTCGGGTGGTAAGAGCTGACGAGACTCCTTTTCTCTGGATGAATTACAAATAGACTCTGTATTTGATGTGAAGGTCCTTAGTTCTCCAGCAGCCTCTGCCTCTAAAAATATTGAAATTACCCAAGCATTACATAATTAAAGAAACTGAGGATAGCTGAGTACAGATTCCAGCTATTTTAAATAGAGTTATTTTGCAACAGTATAGTTTAAAAGAGTACAGGATTATGGCAGTAAGAGTAAAAAAAAGCTGCCTTGCAAGATACAAAATAACACCACTGCAAGACAAAACTTTAGGTTCAATGACTTTTTTTTTTTTAATAAATGTCTTGATTTGGGTCACCACTCTTGCACAGGATGCTGTTATTAGACATAATGGCATGTTAGCATTTCCTCTCATAAGTTTCATATTCAGGCTTGAATATATATGTTGAGCTCAAAGCCTGTACAAAATATGATAACCCAGGAATCTTAGTTGCGAGAGGAAGAGCAGAACAAATGCCATGCCCTTCTTATCCTCTGAAGCAGCAAGCTGGTTTAAAAAGAGTGCAAGTCATCGGTGGGGATGGATAAAATAGCCCTTACCACAGCCAGGGAAAGCAAGAGGCTGGATGTGGTTGGAGGAGTGGAAATGGAATAAGAAGAAATGGCAGGAGGAAAAACCTCAAGGGATGACTAGGTCAACGTCAAGACAGGAGAGCATGGAAAGAAGGGAGAATAAATAATATAACACAAAGGAAAGTACACCTGGAGAAGGGAGAGACAATTAGGAAAGAAGGAAAAAAGCTGGCAGTTTGCAAAATTGAGAAAAATAAAGACAGTTTTTAGGGTGGGAAGTGGACATGGAATTGGAAAAGGAGAATTTGGCTAGACCAAGTGAGAGACAAAAAAACCCATTCATGTAGGCGACTGTTTCTTTTCCATTGATTAGTGGAGTTATATAGCAGACTGCTGCAAGTTTGCTAAAGATATTCTGGACATTTATATCAGTAACTTGGATACTTCAGATTTTATAAATAAATAACGGAAAACACACACCCATTGATAAGTAAAAAAAATTTAAGAAAAGATGCTGTAAAAAATTGCAAAGGCCTGATTATTTACAATACTTTTCACTGAAAAAAAAATCTTCTGGATGAAATGCTGTCCCCAAACATGCAAACTCACTCTGCTTCCCTTGCCAAGGAGACTCAGTTCAGTTCCACAAAGTGCCATTTAATTAAGTTAGATCAGAGTAAGAAATCTGTAGCTGTTCCCCTGCCCCCACCTAAATACAGCTTTCTACTAGCTGTTTCCTTCATAATCAGAAGATGTCATTATTGATTATCATATAAATTTCTGTCAACTACTCTTTCAAATCTGTGGGAAATAGTAGTGCAGGCTAATGGCTGGCAGGAATGATCACCTTGAGTTGTGTCTAAGCCTCCTATGTACAGGTAGTATAGAAGTCCCTAGTAAGCAGATGCTAATTCCAGCAGAATTACAAAACGTCTTGGTAGAGGAGGTATCTTGAATAACTAAAGTATACGTGGCTTGAGGGAAGACTGAGAAGTACCCTTAAGAAAGCTCTAAAAATGTTATGACTTAAATCATAAAAAGACTTCTGACCTTTAGCACCACTGATGACGAGTCCCAGCTCTGCACATACAGATACGCAGACAACTTCATGGTCATGACCAGTTAGCACAGCCCTAGGAGCTGGATAATCACCTGATAAAAGAAAATAGGAAACAACTGCTGAGTTCTGGACCAAAACTGCTTTAACAAAAGAACTTTCTGCTATAAGCTGCCTTAAATCAATAAGTATCAAAGGAAGTTACAATCTGCTTAAATGCCATTCTTGGGATTCTGAACAAAATGCATTCATGTATCATCTCACGCAGTCTCTCAATCCATTAATTTACACATTAACAAAAAACAAGCTTTTTTTTTGTAATAGAAGGGTTACATGCTATTTGCAATGCATGGATGCTAACAATACACAAAGATTACAGAAACGCACTAAGGATCAGTTGTATTATCTAAAAATAATAAAAAATTAAATGTCAGTTATAGAACACAAAGTGTGATAGTATTTAAAGCAGCTGTAGTGCAAATATCTGCTATTGAACCAATACGTCTCTACACTTCTGCCAAGAATTTAGAGAATTAAAGACATTTCATTATTAATGACCATAATTTGTCTCATTAGATGCGGGGAGGAAGAGAAGGGGAACAGTAATGTAGACATTAGTCATTTAGTGTCACACAGAATACTTACAGATTAAAATTATAACTAAGGATGGTTATTGATATATAGCAATACATATCTATCACTGTGGGTTTATATGACATTTGATGATGTTTTATTTCATTAAAGAGCAAGATAGGCTACTCCTTAGATGTTTATTTTCTCTATGCAGGAGAAAAAAGTATTTTAGCATGGATTATTTATTGAAGTAAACGAGCATTTATGGAACATCAGGTGTCATACAGCAACATTCCTATAGCTTCTCATAATAACTGATGCTGACATCTTAACAGAGAAACTCCTGAATACAGTAGAGAATTACTCAATATTTGAATTTACTTTGCCACACAAAGAAAAATTAAACAGTAGCAACAAATTATAACAGATATTTCATCTGCTTGTTATTATTTTGTACAAACAAGACACAAAGAACTGGGGAAATTCTAAAGGACAGGAGCTCAGTCAGTACAGTTCAAATATTTTAAAAGGATAAAAGAAATGACCTAGAGAACTAGAGATGAATTACTGTGACATTAATCCTAGGCAAAATAACAGAATGATTAATCCAGAATTCTGTCAACAAAGAATCAGAGGGAAAAATCTCATTAATGCCAGTCACCACGCTGTCTTGGAATGGAAATCTTGTCAGGAAAGTCAAGAAAGCCTGTTAGCTGATTTTGACAGGACGACAGGTACCATGATAGAGATGGCTGTGTTAAAATGGCCTCCACATATTTTTTTCAAGGCACTCGATTTAATAGCACAACTTTTTGATTTAAGAACTGTGTTATGCAGAACTCATTGAGGACTACGTGGATGATCACGAAACTGATTCAGTGACTGACTGTAAAATTTTGGTGCAACAGGAGGATACGATTCTTGACCAGCTGATGACAAGTAATGCTATCTACAGAATAATATAAAATCTTTGCTGGTAAAGCATGGTAAAATTCAGCTCATGTAAAGAATCATGTAGAACTATCTGATGGAGACAGAAAGCATTATAAAGTGTTTTGCCCAGTTAGTAATAAGAATTCAACAAAATGTTTTATTTATTTTTTTATTTCTTTATTTTGAATGCAGGCAGATGGAAGGTTGAGCTTTCTGCACAGCTAAACACAAGTTCTACTTTCTGAGAGGAGATTTTGGTTTGGAAAGCCATGAGACAGACAAGGATTTATAGAATCTATAGTCCAGGGAGTTTATTGCAAGTAATTGCCTCAACGTAAGTTTTCAGTGCAATGCTCTAAAATAGCAGCTAGGAGTAGGGAATTATCTCGACACTGTAAACGAGAAAGATTAAAGCCTTCGATCCATATTTACAGAAATGAGCTCAAAGGAGGGTCATGAAACTGATACAGAGAATAGTACAGGAGTTCACACAATGTTTAAGTTCTTTTTCTCTTCACTGCATGGGAAGCAGAGCAGTGACTTGACTACCTGGTCAGATCTGGTGAGTTAGGGGTACAGCAGTAGTCCAATGGGTGAATGCCTACACACATTTCAATCTTGTAATGTAACAAAATGCAGCTTCCTAACTGGAAAGCTAGGAAACATTATAACAGATTAATCAGGGAATTGAAGTATCTGAAGTAAAATTGTATACATTTATGAAAGACATGCTTTAGGGATGTACACTTGGATAGAATTGTGTGGGTCAATGAATTTAGCCTTTTATTGTAGAGGTTTACATCAAACCATTTATTAAATTAATCAAATTTACGGATCTCACTTTGGATCCAGTAGTACACAGTAGGCCAAATGTGCTCTGATTGTTGCTTTGTACATTAAGACATTAAGACTTTCCTATCCTCTACTGCAAATCACTATTGCAATAAATTCTAGCGTCACAGTCTTTTAAAAAAAAAATCTTATGGGCCTGGAAATTGAAGATGTGATTTAATAAATGGCATTACTGTTAGGAAAGGAGGGATGTTGGAAGAAACAGAGAAAGATGCTATATCTAACTCAAGATTAGCTGTATTTGTTGTAATGTCCCCTTCAGTGTTTCTGTTGTAAGCTCCATGTCCTCCCCATCTGATGTTTTTATTTCTCCAGCAGCCTAATACAGGAAAAACAAAGAAAAAAACAAAAACCCAAAACACACACACGAATGCAAAAAAACCCCAGAATCTTCCTCCACCTTTTCTGTTCTCTTTCATGGGTCCTCCTGGAAATTATGGAAGAGGAGCAATGCCCAGGGGTTTTCTTGCCTTAAATGCAGACTGCAGAGGTGTGCACATGGCAAGGTCATCAGACTACAAGGGAACTTCAGACTACAAGGGAACTAGCAGTAGTGAATGATTGAAAAGATTAGATGCTCAGAAATTCCCTACTATTTTCTAGAAAAAATGATATAATACTATGGAACTGCAAAATGGGAGAATATAAAAAATAAGTATATTTGATAGACTTCTCAATTTACAAAGGTAAGTGCTTATAAGAAATAACTAACCTGAAATGTAGGTCTTTGAGTCCTGTTTTTCAGAAGTATAAATTAATAATGAAATATCATTATTAGGAGGAATACTGAGGTAATAATTGAAAGTAGGATTTTTTCCCCTTAGGGCTCAAAGAAAAATGTATTCAATAATATTTTCTATGGCAAAAGCTGCAGCACAGGGAAGAGAACCTTAATCATATTACATTTTATTACTCGGGACAGAAGTTGTGAACTCTAGGAATCGTTCAAAATCTAGCAAAATATTCTGTCACTGTCACATCACCACTGATAGATGCAGCCAGAGGTCAAAGGCTGTAGCTCTGGGGGAATTGCAGGTGAAAATATCCTACCTACGAACTGAGATACTATCACTGCAAACTCTCTATAATTTCCCCAAAGGAACACCTCTGAACTGAATTACTAGAGGGCAAGAAAGAAAAAAAAAGATCCTGTCTTGTATTTCCAAACAAATACATTCTTCTACAAAGTCTAAAACAAAACATATCTTTCCTTCTCTCTCAAACATATGAAGTTTAATA